CCCAGAACAAGCACTCGCTAGAAATGCATTTCTCCAAGCTAAGAGCGCGGGCTAGCTCGCGCTTGTAGCTTTGGCTGCAGTTTTAACTTAAGGGTGAACCGATTGTATAATGAACGAATTACAGCCGGGCAATGGCGTCAGTTCGGCGGTACACCAAGAAAAAAACACTTGATTCTAAAGGAAGGACGTCTTGTAAAAAATATATATAATATTCTTGGCATACGCATAAAAAGTGAGGCAAAAGAAGAGGTATGAGCGTACGGGGTCGTCAGAGCACCACGATCTGGTTGGAGTGATTGGTGAATCGACGCGAAGCTAGCGGCCCACGTCTTCATTAACTGTTCAAGCGCGCGTTGACGTCTCCGCGTGTTCTAATCTCCTCCTCGCCCTCAATTTCTGTTCGTATAGGCGCGCTACGCTCGCTTCGTGTGATACATTTATGGGGAGAAATACGCAACACAAAACTGAGGGGAACGAAGTAAAGAAATAAGGTAATACACAGTTACGCGAGCTCTCTCAACTGCCATTTGAGTGATCTCAATAAAGACACACCGAAATTGCACGCGGAAGTAACTGTCAATCTTTGAGCCGCAGTTGATTGCAGTTGAGCTCCTCTCAAATCAAAGCTGCTAGAACTTGAGATTGGGCAAGTTGGTTGTTCATAATGGTTGACGACAAAGCGCACTCCAAGAACTGTCGCTCAAGTGTCCATACATATAGAAAAACAAAACATTAACGCAGCGCGCTCTCTAACAACCGTATTTCGAAAGCTCACGCTGCAGAACCCAGGGATCAGGGCTTCAATCCCCAGACCTGCCCGTTTCGATCTGGATGAGCATCGTATACCGGTGTGCGATCGTGTATCTCTACTGGGTGATGCACGTTAAAGACCCCAGGATAGCGGTTGTACTGCACTGGCTAAATTGCTCACCTACAGCTGGGAGACAAGTCGCCCATTGAAGCACACTTGGTTCTAGGTTGTATAGACATGCACACACCCCAATGTTTTCAACAACTGTATCTTGTTATAAAATTCTGTTTCTAGTTCTATTTAAGGCGATCTTCAAACAAAACAAAAGACGAAAAATAAAAAAGGGAAAGTTCCATTTTATCGCCTGGACAAGCTTGCGGCTAAATGTAATCAACCTCTTTTTGTGACAATAATATAGACGGCGTGTTAACACGTTTGTTCACCAGTCTTCTTATTTCCTCGGCTTCTATCTGGTCCCTTTTTAGTTGGTTGACACTTTTGCTTAACGCGGCGCTGTTGTTGGAATGCACCGAAAACCCACAGTCCCGACAGTGAATTCCCAAGTGGTCAGAATTGGATTTGCCGATGTGGTTGTTATGTTGACGAAGGCGGTTATTAAGACACCGCCCAGTTTGTCCCACTTTTTGCCTTCGACAAAAAAGGAGAAATAGATAGACAACCCTTCAACGCAAGGCACAAAGTTGGTACCATGCTCCTTGGAGCAGAAGGTTGCTCGGTTTAAAGGTGTCACGATCTTGCACAAGCTGGAAAGTTTTTTTTTTTTTTTTTCGGAGGTAAAAAGATTACATCAACATTCACTGTCTTCGCTGTTTTCTTAAGACCATAAGAAAACCCTCGCTCTGTTATTTTCTTAAGATAACTACGAACAGAGTGAATGATGATGTCGTGTTTTCTGCTCCGAAACAAACTTTCCAGGCTGTGCAAAAACGTGACCGTACCTTAAGATCGAGCAACCTGCTGCTGTTTTTGCCATCCGTTGAGGTTTTTTTTTTTTTATTCACTCCCCATTTTTTGTGGAAGACACCGTAGTAAAAACCGGGTGGTGTTTTAATGGACGCCTTCTTGAACTTAGCAACAACATAGTCGACGCCAACTATGGCCACTTAGGAATTCACTGTCGGGAATGCTAGTGTCCGGCGTGTTGGAACAACAGCACCGTGTTACAAAAAATTGGTAAACCAGCTAAGAAGGGAACTTTTAGAAGCCGAGAACGACGGAGGGCAAATCTGTTAGAACGCCGTGTATAAGATTGTAAAAAAAAATATGTATATATTGATTTTTTAGCCGGATGGTTTTCCAGGCTTTTTCATTTTTAGTGTTTTCCTCTTCTTCTATTTGAAAATCGTCTTAAATAGAAATAGAAAAAGAAGTTTATTACGCAATACAGAGTTGTTAGTGAGTGCTCTGTGAGTGTATTGTGTGTTTGGAAACTTGAGCGACAGTTTTCGAGTGCGCTGTAACATTGACCATCCCCTCAAATCGCATACCTACTAAAAGTGTTATTCATGATTTTGTTTGTTTCGCGAGCTTGCAATTAGTCAACTTGGACAGGCGTCCGGCTCCACTGTATATCAGAAACTTAAGGCCCGTTCACACGATGCATTTTTCTCGCGCATCTAGTGTCGCGAAACGTAGTTTCGCGAAATGGTTGCGCCGTCTGAACGAGTCCGAAAAGGACGCGCGCATCTAAAAAAGGTTGCGCGCACACCTCGCTTCTGGAGCGATCTTTTGCTGAAACTTTGCCGAATCCTGTCAATCACTCTGAGGGCGCCGCCAATGGCCGCTCAGAAACGCTCTCACGTGGCCTTTGAGGGGGGAGCGAGCTGTTTGAGAAGACCACTTCACTGCCGGTGTTGTGGCCGAGCCAAATCTGAAAAAAACCGAAACCACGAACGATGGATACTGCCGGCGCTTCCGCGAGCACGTCAAGCACCACTGAAGGAAAAGTGAGTAGCATATCGGAAAAAAAATCCAGCGATGGACGAAGACGTAATTCGTGATGATGACAATTCGCGTCTATTTTTAGTCATAATTAAGAAATAAAACCTTGAGACCAGGAAACAAAAAGGGACGTACACAGTACCGTCTCAAAACCAGCACAGCGTACAGCTCTCCTTTACTTCCACAACAGTCTTCTTCTTTGTCAACCTCCATCCAAATTATACATATTCAACAGTAAATATAGTAAATGGCAGTAAATGACAATTCAACTAGTAAATGACAATTTAAGAGTAAATTAAGTAAATGAAAGTAAATGACACGACGCTGAATGGCTAATGGTGATGATGATGATGTTGGCTTTCAACTGAAGCGCCACTTTATGGTCAACACCGAAACTATTTTCGCGAGTCTGAACGTCATCGTTGTTGCACGTGAAGGGGTACGTGTGAACGAGCACATTTCGCGAAACTTGAGTGTCGCGAAACTGTTGCGCGCCAAAAAGATGCCTCGTGTGAACAGACCTTAAAAGTGTAGCACGACTGCTAGCCTGTTTTTGTTGTGTTTTCTTTTTTTTTTTTTTTTTTACGGGCATAACGCATTAATTACACATCACCGCACGCCGGTACAGCTCTTATCAACATCAAAACGGGCAGAAGCGGGTTAAAACCCCACAGCGAACCCCGAGAAACCTTAAGAAATCTCAGGAAGCTGAGTTGAAATATAAGTAGCTGTTGTTCGCTGACCTTCATGATAGCGGCATCTTCGGCATTGGTGCTGAAAAGCAACGTTAGCGAAGCAATCTTTGTTATTAATATTAAGGAAGGCGTCTACAAAGACTTGACAGAAAAATTTTTTATCGATCAGAGCTGGAAATATCTTGAAGTTGTTAAAGGAATAGTTATGCGCATGCTTAATTAAAAGAAATTATATCCTTTATACCCCGTAATGAAACCTTAGAGAAAGTGCAATAGTGATCAATATACTGTTATATATTTGTATATCACGCACCACCAGTCCTGGTTTCGGTTTGACTTTATTTATAGATAAAACATTCTCCTGACAGCTGGCTAAGTTGAACCATCCCAATATAGTTTAGTCAGATGGGAATCGCAAACTGCCATTAGCCAAACTGGAGTTGAAACTGCTAATGTAATCTGGCTATAAAGGAAGTTACAATCGAAACAATAGAATAGAGGCTATAGACACCTAGAAGAGTTTTACCTGGACTGGGCACCCAAACAAACTCACTCCACGAAGTCTAACACCAGGTCTTGAACCATGCGTCGTCGACACGTCGATCCAGTTGGGGAGATGACATCGTTCGCTGTAAGTCACTCAGCAAGCACTTCGTCCAAAGCATGCGACTATTCCCAAGCTCTACTCTTGATTCCTATCGTTTTTGAACCCTAATTTGAGCTAGAATAGGAAGGCCAATCACCCTCTTCTCTCAGCGGCATTGTTTTCGGTCCTCCAGAAAGGTACGCGACAAAGCAAGACGCTATCACCTGAGCTTCCTGACGCTCTGTCCACAGCTCGAGAAGTTGCATTATTGAATCACAATGATCGGCTATTAAACCCTCTCAGCAGCACTAGAATGCAGTACCCACAGGAAAATCGGAAAATGGAGTGCGAAGCCTTTAAGTTCAGCTTATTGAGGGGCTCTAAACGAGCTGTTGCGTCCAATATATCATTATGTAGTCATAAGCCTTAATTTCCAGGATTCGTTGGGCTACCATCTTCTACCTCGTCTTCTTTCCTGTATTCATTTTCCGCGATCCGGCAGATTGCATTTGCTCAATCAACGCCATTTGCCCAATAGAAGTCTTTGCATGATAACGTCTGTTCAGTTGTCCCATACCTGAACACAGCACTAATATCACAGGATCTACGGTAAGAAGAAAGTGTATGCTATGAAGAGTGGTTTGATTTCATCTTCGGACACTTTATCACAGCTGGAAGATTGAAATAAAAGATAAAACGCCGATAATACCAGCAGGCAATCCCTGAAAGAAAATTGCGTAGTGGTACATCAAGGCTTTATTAAAGTATGCAAGGTACGAAGTCTTTTTTAGACTTTATTAAAAAAAGGTATAAAAATACTAAGAAATACATTCCTGGTTGACGCGATGCTTGCCGTGAACTCAAGACAAGCTTACATGAGAAAGAAATAACCACAAAAAATATATTCGCACATAAAAGGTGAAACATAAATGCTAACGTTATTACATTTATCTCGGAAGAGCTAGCGCCAAAACTTACAACCAAGAGAGCGTAACAAAATCAGTGCTTAGGAAGCCGTCGCGTTAGTTTCCCCATTTGTGGAGGTCACTATTTTGTACAAATCATTCCTCCCATGTTTGCTCATGGGCAACTGATACCTCATCAAATCCAGATAATCTAAGTCCACGTCAGCAAGCACGAGCTCCTCGCCAGAGGCCGCCGACCCTATCACCTTGCCGGACGGATTGACCAACATGCTGTGTCCCCAATTGACGTAAGATGCTGCTTCATCTCTCGCCGGCGACACCGAGGCTAAGTACACCTGGCTTTCCGCCGCCCTACACCTGGAAAGTATTTCCCAGTAAAGCGGACCAGTTACCATGTTGAATGCTCCTGGAAACACCAGCAACTTGCAACCAAGCTGCGTATACATTAGCACAAAGGGTGAGAACGCCATGTCGTAGCAGATCCCGACACCCACTTTACAGAACGGAGTGTCAAATGTGGTCACTTTGTGTCCAGCTGCTAAGAACTCCGACTCATTAAAGATAATTTTGCCAGGAATGTTGACGTTGAAGAGGTGAACCTTGCGGTGCTTGGCCAGCATCGAACCGTCTGGTCCGTAGACCAGGCAGGTGTTGTAGAGTTTTTCAGCTTCACTCTCCGACATGGATCCGCCAACGAGGTAGACCTGGTTTTCCTTAGCGCTGCAGGATAACATCTCGCTGGTTTCGCCGGGAATTTTCTCGGCGTACCGTGGAAAGTACTTCGGTTCGTACGGGAAGGTGAAACATTCTGGGAGGCAGAGTACCTTGGCTCCCGCAGAAGCCGCCTTCTTGATTAGCCTGCTTGCTCTATCGAGGTTTTCTTTTTTGTTGTGACTCACCGCAGTCTGAAGCAGGGCCATGCGAAACTTGCTTATCGACATGCTTTGGGTCTCCGGGATAACGAATGCTTTGTTTCAAGATTTCAGGTAAGGGCAGAGCACAACCGCAGAGCAACCGGCAAGGGATATGGGACAACGCTAGCCCGCCGCCAATGTCTGGCAACCCTTCCTAACACCGGGGAAACAGCGGTCGTTATTAATGTGTTTTTACGCTCCGGTGAAGCATGTGCGCGGGCGAGTAATCACGCAACATCCCGACATAATGAAAGGACGTATAACAATGAAGCCATTTGATGGCCCTGACGGGAACTGCAGTTATACGGCCATGTGGTAAACAGGAATCCGCTGTAGACCACAGTGTGAATTTGACTCCATGGAGGACAGCGACATAAGGCTCGTTCATGCTATTGTTTTTTGTCAAAGGCGCATAAGTGAAATTCTTCGTTTTCGGGTTTTAATGTTGTCAACGAGAATTTTAACGTCCGCTAATTTTTATCTTGTTCCAGTGGTTGTGTCCCCACTGTCCTCCGTTTTCTCTCGTAGGGCTGCCCTTACTCTTCTGTGCCCTCCAGTAGAGCACTGCACGGCCCGGAATTTCTAAGCACGGCCCGACCCGGCCCGGTAGAGACACGGCCCAGGCCCGGCCCGAGCCCGACAGAATTTTTAATTTCTAGGCCCAGTCCAACCCGGCCCGGTGGAAACACGGCCCGGGCCCGGCCCGGGACCGATAAAATTATATCGGGCTCGGGCGTCTATTTATGATTGGACGGTTGTTAACACGGCAGGACATAGGTCGATTCTACTAGTCATTTCGAGCCCGGAAAGATTCTAGAAGTAAAGAGAATCACAATCTCGCTAGAGCATCTTCAAAAAGCTGCATGAACAAAAAATCACCTAGGGTACGTTAGCTTATCTTTGGTGGCATGGTAAGGCCCCCGAAGAAAGTAAAAAGTCGAGTTCAAATTTTTTCTTTTTTTTTTAGTTTAAAAAGTAAAAAAAAAAAAACGACAATCATTTCTTGCCTTGCGACCGGAGTGCTCTCGTTTTCTTGCACGCTCTCTCCCACTATGCTGGTGGAGTTCATACGTTTTCTTTAACGGCTGGGAGGCTTTTTAACTGCAAAACTCCTTTTTGTTATTATTTTTAACGACACTGTAGTGACTTTTGAGTTCGCCTTTCTTGTTTTCAATGAACCTAAAAGATTCATGAGCAAACGTTTCTATCAACAATTTAGGATTTAAGACAAGAGACTGACTGCCTCGGCACGGCCCGGACTGGCCCAGGCCGGCGCGGCTCGAAAACGTTTTTGTTGAAGCCCGAGCCCGGCTCGGGCCAGAGAAAATACGTGCTACCCGGCCCCAGCCCGTCCCGCGGGACGAGCCGGTCTCGGCCTTTCGGGCTGGCCCGGGCCCGTGCAGTGCTCTACCCTCCAGTTCATCTGTTCAAAGCTCCCAAAGTCGTCTTTGGGTTTTGCGCATTTTCCTGTTAGGGCCATCCGGCTTAACCTTAATTTTTTTTTTTTTGTTGTGTGTGTGTGCTTTTTCGTTTACCTGCGTAGTCACGGATAAAGGCGACGAAACCATAAATATTGAACTGAAAATAAAAGGTTTAATGGGAGAACTTGTGGAAAACAATATAAAAAACGAGCGTCAAGACGGCTGAAAATTGGGCGGCGCTTTGGCGGCGTAACAGCAAGCGAGACCGAGACTGACCCAACAAAGTCCCGCGCAGCTCCTTACCTAGCGTGCGCCAGCATCTCGAACATTTGGCCCAGAAGGTTCGAGAATCGAGCGTCGAGCGTTTGGGTGAGAATGAACAGGCACTTTCGAAAACAAAAAAGTAGGACGAAATGATAAAAGTTACTTCCCGAGTGAGAATAAACACGAACCTTGCAGAATTCTGCGGCCGAGCGTTGCTTGCTCAGATCCACTCGCGCCATTATCGCCCTTTTATGGCTCATTCAACAGGTGGTTCAAGCGCATTGGCGCAGCGGTTTCGTACGCGGTTACTTAAAGATTTAGTGCAGTTTCACGTGCATTTGACGATAAAACGAGTGGATCCGCTTCGCGGTTGCGTTGGGAACGCCGATGCAAAGGGAGAGGAAAACAAAAACAAAAGTCCTAATACGCGAAGAACGACGTGAGTCGAACGACGTAGACCACTTTGGGTCGTGGCCGGCGGCGTCCTGATGGTCGGGTTCCTTCGGGGAGAACCTGGTAGTTCAATTCCCCAAGGCGGTGAATCATCTTCTGGGGTCCTAAGTAGCGTTTCCATAGCTTCTCACTGAGGCCGCGGCGGTGAATGAGTGTCCCCATCCACACCCTGTCTCCGGGCTGGAACTCCACGTCTCGGCGACGAAGGTTGTACCGGTCAGCGTCGACACGTTGCTGGTACTTTATCCAAAGGCGGGCTAGCTGGCGTACCTCTTCTGCCCGTTGGGTGACCATCTGGACGTCGTCGATGCCCTCGTCCGTCGGGTCGTCCGCCGGTTCGTGTTGCAGCATGACGTGAAGCATCGTCGTCACCTTCCTGACGTCCGCCAGCTTAAAAGGTGTAATCTCAGTGGTTTCTTGAACCGTCGTGTTGTGGGCAAGCGTGACGTAGGGCAACACCTCATCCCACGTCTTGTGTTCCACGTCCACGTATATCGAGATAATAGGGAGTTTTAGTAGATCGTTTTCAAAGACCCGCTACCGCTACGAGCGCGTGCTTCAGAGCATGCATCGAAGTGGCAGCGCGAGCTCCCGCTACGAATAGCGTAGCCTGAAAATACGATCTACTAAAACTCTGTAATGTCGGCGATTGTTTTGTTTAGTCTTTCCTTCAGCCTTTTGATCTGCGGGTGATATGCCGTTGTTCGGCGGTGGTCGGTGTGGCTCAGGTGGAGTATAGACCGGTTCACACATACAGTGGAGCCCTATGTTAGCGCTACGTGAGCGCTCGAAGGAGCGCTCATGTGGCGCTTCCTAGCGCGTGATCGAGCGCTCGGTTACTACTTCAGCAGCGCTCTTTTAGCGCTTCAGAAGCGCTTTGTTAGCGCACTGTTAGCGCTACAGAAGCGCTTTGTTAGTGCTCTCACGCTCCTTGTGCCATGCTTGCTGCTGCGGAACAGCACGTGCACGGGAATTCCGTTGTTGTTGTTTTTCCTTTGGTGGTGAAAGAAGAGGAAGTACAGTCTCCGGCAATATGAAAGACCCACTGGGAGCGCGTGGCCGAGACGGTGGCTGGCGTGGGCGCTGCGAGCGCTCCGGGCAATTCCATTCTGCTTCGAGGGGAGGACGCTGACTCAGGGCTCAGCACAAACTGATAAGCGCGTTTCGCTTTAGCTGAGCCCAAGTGAGCGTCCTTTCCTCGAAGCAGAATGGAATTGCCCGGAGCGCTCGCAGCACCCCCGCCAGCTACCGCCTCGGCCACGGGCTCCCAGTGGGTCTTTTATATTGCCGGAGACTCTACGTAAAAGAGACGCTCTCCAGGCAAACGGCCGGGCAGATGATTCATAGTCATGGACTTTGAGCGACTGATTGATCGGGTACGACATCCTCGATTTCTATTCGACATGCGTGACCCTGGTTTCAAAGACACGCAGTTAGAAAAGGTAGAGAAAATGGAAGCCGTTTACGATTCCCTGTAACGCCGGTTAGAGCGCAGCTCTTGAGGAGGAAGATGGAAGTGTACTGAGGGATAGGTGACTCCTTGAGGTCACGTGACCTAAGGGGGCTCTCGTGACGTCAGTGGGGTCACGTGGCCTGAGGGGGTCACGTGGCCTGAGGGGGTCACGTGGCCTCAGGGGGTTACGTGATCTGAGGCGAGTCAAGTGACCTGAGGGGGGACACGTGACCTGAGGGGGTCACGTGACTTCAGGGGGTCACGTGACCTAAGGGGGTCACTTGACCTGTGGGGGTCACATGACCTCAGTGGTGTCACGTGGCCTCAGGGGGTTACGTGATCTGAGGCGGGTCAAGTGACCTGAGGGGGGACACGTGACCTGAGGGGGGACACGTGATCTGAGGGGGGACACGTGATCTGAGGGGGGTCACGTGACCTGAGGGAGGTCACGTGGCCTTAGGGGGTCACGTGACTTCAGGGGGTCACGTGACTTCAGGGGGTCACGTGACCTGAGGGGGGTCACGTGACCTGAGGGGTCACGTGACCTGAGGGGTCACGTGACCTGAGGGGTCACGTGACCTGAGGGGTCACGTGACTTCGGGGGGTCACGTGACATCGGGGAGTCACGTGACCTCGCGGTTACGCCGACGCCGACGCCGACGCCGCTCAAGCCGGAAACGGGCCCCTAAGAGCTGCGCTCTAAAAAGATAATCACCTTCGAAAGAACTCTTGTCCCTCAGCCTGGGAACAAGGCTCGCCAGGTACCCGTCGGTATCTCGGTGGCGAAAGATCTTGCGCACCCAGAAGGCTTTTCTGGGCGTTAAGCTGTCTACACACGTATGTACTAATTGCGTATGTAACAGCATTTGTCGCGTTTTTATTTCAGCGTCCCACATGTCCGCCGTAGTGCTGCTGATGCATCCAACGACAGGAACCGGAAACGCAGTGCACGCGCTAATCGGCAGCAGTAACCGCAGTACAAGATGCGCTAACAAGGCGCTACTGAAGCGCTAACAAAGCGCTACAAAAGCGCTAATCGCGTGCTATATTAGAACTAAGTCACGCGCCAGGAAGCGCCACATGAGCGTTCCTTCGAGGGCTCACGTAGCGCTAACTTAGCACTGCGCTGTATGAGTAAAGGCCGGTTCAAACATGCAGCGAAGCGCTAATGTAGCGCTTCTCACGTGTCGGCCGCTACTTATTGTCTGCCATGAACAACAGTATTGACGGTGCGATACAAAGCTGGTGAACGCTCCCGTCAGCACGCGCTTAGCGCGAGGTCAGCGCTCCCCTTGTAGCGCTCCGCTACATGTGTAAACAGGCCTTAAACAGGCCTTATCCCTTGTGTAAGGTACGCCATGAAAGATGAACCTGAGTCCGTAATCAAGACTTGGGCAGCGCCTTGTCGGAAGACGATGGACTCGACAAAGGACTTG